ATATATATATAAACACTAATAAAAACAAAGCATTAACTGAAGTTAAATAAACTACAGAACACCTCTCATAAATCTAAACACTACAGCTAAATAAAGATGTATTTTAGGTTATCTTCAAAACTACAATTTAGGATACAGTAACAAGATGTAGTTCGGTTTGCAATCTTTAAATCAGCTTTTATTGCAAAAACAATCCCTAAACAAGCCTTACAATCTTATATTCAGCCAAAAATATTTTGGTCTTGTTTGAGACTGATATCCTAAGCAAGAGCAGACTGTGTTTGATTATTAATCTTGTTGCCTGGAATTTTTCATATTTTAAGAAATCAACTAAGTGTTTTATTTCACTTATTTTCAGATGGTTAATCTTTGCAGTGAAGTTTAATGAAAAGGCAAAGAAAGGCTTATTTGTGACCGTTTTGCAAAATCTTTAGCATTCAAATATTTAAAGGGAACTTCATGTTGTAAATTCTTGTAGTTCTCTTAAGGTCGAGCCCCAAAGGGCTCTGAGACACAGCCGAGACCCAAAGGGCTCTGAGACAGAGCCGAGACCCAAAGGGCTCTGAGACAGAGCCGAGACCCAAAGGGCTCTGAAACACAGCCGAGACCCAAAGGGCTCCGAGACAGAGCCGAGACCCAAAGGTCTCTTATCTGGAGCCAGATGTGTACCCAGAAAGAATGAAAAACACGAGATAATGTGAAGCAGCCACGCAGCCTCTGGATGGCAGTTTGGTTCCCATGACACAACGCTCATCAGTTCTGAAGAGTCTGTTGGCAATCTGCCCTCGTTGTAACCTTCCTAATGGTCGACTCGTCACCATGGCATTAAATATATTTACAACGATGTGACTCCATCATCACCTCCTTCTCCCAACTTGTTTCCCTCCCATTCAACACTCATTACTCTTCTTGTCAGTCTCTGCTACTACATTACCCACACTGCACCAGGCCATCAATCACACGGAGCCCATCCAAAACGAATAAATCACTTTGGCTGATGGAGCAATCAGTCCTTTGATGATTTCTCTCACTCCCATCTTCTGCACTCAGTCAGAGATTTATTTCASCCTTCACTAAATAAAAGGCCAACAAACTCAAAAAGCACCCCCAATCCACCCCCCCTGCACTTCCACTTCTATTACTCAATTACATCGYCATTATTTGCTAAAAGTGGTTCAGTCAGTCTTGTATCCCTTCAATCCACGGGTGATCTGGGTGATTTGACTCAACAGTCTGGTTAGCCACTGATTTCATGCATTGAGCYGAAGAAAAAGCCCTAAAATGTTGTCAGAGTCCATAAAAACTTTGCTCAGATATTTTTGAATAATTCACTGCATCAAATTTAAAGTAAATCAAAATCATTTCCATGGTAATACATAATTTAAAATAAAAACAAGTCCCTGCAACACACAGGGAGTAGCTTTAATGTCAGAGGGATTAATGAGAACCCTCTAATGAAAGCTTGGTTCTGCTTGAAGGTGAACATTTTTATCATTTGYAACATTTTTCTGAAGCTGATTAATGGATTTCTGTCTATTAGTATTGAGTATAAGCCCAAAGCAGTGTTCACACTCGAACATCTCCAACACCAGACCCAGAAAGAAATCATTCAGAAAGCAACATACGGTATCGGTACATTATAGCGGTGGAGGTAAGTCAGTCGCTTCTAAAATAAGGTGGGGGTCTTGGTGCCAGAACACACACCACGTAYGAAAACAGTCGACGGTTATGTTTACTATAAACCCCACACACACCGGCTGGCTACACGCTGAGCACCAGCTCTCCTTTGCTTTTATAGCAGCACTGCCTCGTATCAACACTTTGCCAAATGAATAAATAAAAATGACTCGAAACGGAGCTTTAAAATAACAGCTTAATGTCTGTACAGACAAATACTGCCAGGTAAGAATGCAAGGGTTAGGCAGTATTTATTKAATTGTGTGTTTAACTTTAATAAATGACCTCTGGCAGGCTGACTATATGAAGTCAGTGGAGCTAAACATAATGAAATCACATTTTTTTAAAGCTGCTGATACTTTGGAGTGRGGGAATGTTTTTCCTGACAACATTCAGCAACATATATATTCATGTGGAAACCAGCACTTCCACACAGCAGAAGCCAAACCTGACCTACAAACAGTTTAAAGAACAGAGGTGTCTGTCCATCAAAGTGCTACTCATCAAACTGAAGGCCAGCACCTTATATCTACACATTTTAACCTTACTAAATCATTAATAAATGGTTAGTTAACCATAAAAACATCATTTAGGATGATGGCTTTTCCCCCCTCAAATAGTACCCATATAATCAAGAACAAACTATTAAAAGCTTTTCATATATTCAAAGCTTCAGCAATAGAATGCCAAAGTTTTGAAWCTTTTCTTTATTTTTGAGGTCTACRAGGTCAGTTTAGTCAGGAAATGAACAAAATTGCTTCGTGGTGTGAACTGGAAGAGGCTTTTTGTTCTTCAAAGCTGATGTTGCCAAAGAGCTACCGGAAGTGACAGGAAATTCAAAAAGAAACTGAAACAAGTAGAACCACTGTATTGGACAGGAAGTGACAACATTAAGATTTCACTCAGTCCTGAATTTAATTACACTTTAAAAT